CTTTGGCAGACCTATCACAGGTTGTAAGAGTTTGGCAGATATTGACATTTGCAAGAACATTGTAATGAACATTCACAGGTGGACTAGACGTCCAGGCACGTCTGAGGCAGCAGTAATATAGTACAGCCACTTACTAAAAGACAAAATGGCCTTGCATTGGAAATTAATCTGTTGAGAATGTTTTTATCTTTACAAACCACTATCCTAATTCTTTGGCTTTACTTACTATGCAAGTCACAGATCTGAAACAACTTTGTGGTGGGGAATTCAAAGTTAAAGTGACACTAAACTCAGGAGTTGAATCTTAAGAATACATTCAAGAATCTTAATCATTAACAACAATCTAGCTTATTAGTGTATCACTCGGCTGTAGATCCTCAAATAATCTCTGAATTGGTGCTGACACTGTCCTTCCTTCTGGAGGGGGGCTACTTATGTTCCCCATGGTCCCTGTGTGTGTTGTAAAGTAGTCACCGCTCCAAGCTCAATCCCGGGATGGACTACAATCTCATGTCTAGTTGACAAATTTGTATTGAGATTGAGATATAAAATAAAAAATATCTCAATACAAATTTGTCAACTAGACTTGAGATTGTAGTCCATCATGGGGGGGAGCTTGGAGCGGTGACTACTTACAACACACACAGGGACAGTGGGGAACAATAGCAGCCCCCCTCCAGAAGGAAGGACGGTGTCAGCACCAATTCAGAGATGGTTTGAGGATCTACAGCCGAGTGATACACAAATAAATCTTAAAAATACATTCAAGTACCCCAACAATGCATCTTAAGTGTCACTTTATTGGGACACATACATATTTCAGGTAAGTGACTCGCTGTATTTTGAGGCTAAGGGTTGAGAGCTCAGGAACTCCATGATGGCGGCTCCCATAACCAAGATGAATTTTCTCATCCAGCTGAAGCTAAATCCTCAAGAACTAAAGAGTACCTCTCACTCAAAACACAACAGAGACAGTCCACATCGAGTCCCAACCCAACATACAGACCATTTCCCAAGAAGGGCCAACTTAAGCGGAGGGAGGTCAGACATATTTCCAAACCCATCAGATTGCTCAGAACTATGGCACAAGGGGGAACGTCTGCTCTCCACGGGTTTGGCTTACAAGATGAAAAAAGGTACACTTGAATTATCGAAAGGCACTTAGGCAGCAAGAAGCCTCTTTGTGAAAGATATTTGTAGGCACCGTGATAAGACAATAAAGCACTTTGGTGATAGCCCTTAAGATAAGAAAGTGGAGTGAATGGTAAGTGCCCATATAAAACCCCAAAAAGAGAAAATATACACAATCCAAAAAGATTAAAGGGATTGGCAAAACAAAATATTATGGTGAAAAAATAAGCTTATTACAACACATAAAAGGCAACTTCCTCATATCCATTGAGTCATGCAAAAGCAGCTGTCCTATTCCAAGTCATTTAAACTGATATAAAAGCTCCAAGATTTTCGGAACACTAGTCAGGAGGCAAGGTTAAAAAAAAAAAAATCTTGTTCTCTATTATGCAAAATGTCGTTGCAAGTGGTTTGCAGTAGGGATGAACCGATACCAGTTTTTCGGTATCGAGTACCGATATTTAGATTTCGGTACTCGACGATACAGATACCAGTACTTCTGATAGCATAGAGCCGACTTCCCGGGCAACCAAAAAGCCAGGCGGCGGGTGCAGTTCGTGTCACCATATTGTCAGATCTGTTTGGCCCGCCTCGATGCCAATTGGCTGGGAAGTCGGCTTACCGGCCAATCGGCATCGAGCCGGCCAAACAGAATGGAGTCGGCTTCCCAGCTCCCTCGCGGCACTGCCAGTCAGAGGAAATCTCCCTCTGACCGGAAGTTCCAGGATCGGGAAAGGTATCGGAGCATTTGGGCGAGTACCTCGCCCAAATACTCTGTATCGGCAACGATACTAGCATTGGCGCATCCCTAGTTTGCAGGAGTCTTCTAGGGCCTAAAGTGAAGTTGAACAGTTTCAGGTGACACTAGGAGAAAAGCTCAGTAGCGGGGACACAGACCGCCTATAAATTCCTCGCCATAAAAATTCTCATTTTGGCTGGAGTTCGACTTTAAATGCCTGGTTGTGTTGGCTTCCTTATATTCTGTGATAATCCTAGTAAAAAGTATTTGTAATCACAGGTCTACACTGAATAGTGGCAACAAATTAAATAAAAAGGCTGCTCATACTGTAGCCCGGTTAATGGGAAGGTTCCTAGCAGCCTCCTTGCATGGCACAAAAGCCTAATGTCTACATTCAGCTATCACAATGGACACAATTCTGTTGCACCTCATTACAGATCAAGTCATAAGACTCTGGCTCTTCCCCGCAGCAGATTTGTAACGAGGTGCAATAGCATGATGAACTGCCACTTCAAAAACCTATTCAGTTTGAATAATTTGACCATTACTTCCTGTTCCAAATATGATTTAGAAAAAACAACAACTACCTAGATTTTGAGTAAATTACCTTTGTAAAGTGCAAATCATCATTGATTTAAAAAAGAAAACACAGCTATGTCCAAGAAGGACGCATCAGTGAAGCACCCACATCACTGTGAGCACCGCTGGAACAAACTACAGTTCCCAACATGCACTGGGAATTGAAGCTCGCAATGTACGAGAAGGTGGGCGGCACTGTGGGTGCGTCTGTTGCCCGTCAGTCATGGTGGGTGGGACAGGCCAGGAGTCTCCGAACCTGCCAAACAAATTTGGCCAGGTTAGTGGGAGGAACAGACCAGGAGTCTGCAGGAAATTCCTGGGTTCCCCAATATAAAAGAATGCACTGCAATGGGGTTGTTACATGACCAGTGACCCAGGGAAGGAACAGGCACAGTGACCATCGCATACACTGTATATACATCCTGAGAGGGGAGTTAGACCTCATAACTGTATGACAGGAGCAAAACAAGTGAATAAAAAGCGATATTTTCCATACAACTGACCAATATCTTATGTATTTAGGGCACCACAAAGGAAATCTTTCACAAATGCATTGACCTAATTCATAAGAATGCCATCCTGCAATATCAGAACTCATTCTCTAACTCTCACTGTCCCCCAGAGGTTTATCTATTAAGATACATTTATCCCACAAGATAATTTACAGCCAGAACAAAATGTGAAGCTTGGTAGCTGTAGAATGACCACTACCATCATGGAACATAATGTAACTCTGTGATTGCTCTATGAACTCCAGCCAAAACATATGTTTAGTTATTGGCAGAGCAAAAACTAAACACACATTAAGGTCAAATTCCAACCAGTGCCAAGACAGTGTTTCCCCCCGGTCGCTGGGTCTGAAAAAAAAGTGTACTAGATCAGGTATATCAGAACACCTTTTACTTGCATTCAACAAGCATAGCACTGCGTCATTCAGACCACAAAACTGCATCTAATGGTCTGGCTGCACTAAGCCTATCACTTCAGTGGAGACCTAGTGGAAGCTGAAACACCAGCCACCATATCATGTTTGGGGTTTAAATGGTATAATGCTGAAGGGCTGATAGTGGAAAAAAAAAATCTGTGCAACAAAATGGCATAAAATCAGGGGTGGGCATTTTCTCCAGGGGCCACATGAGAAACTGGGACTGTTGGAGGGCCAAACCAATAGGCTGAACTTAATTCTGCTCCATAATCATTTTATCGCTTTGTAAAAAGCAGTAATTTATATGGTTTTGATCATGTCCTTATTAGAGTGCCCCCTTACATTGTTTGCCCCCTTTAGAGCGCCCCTTTATATTATTCTCCTCACATACCTTAGTTCACTACTTTATTAGTAGGCCAGAGGTGAAAACCGGGAGGTGGAGCTGCAGGAAAGGACGGAAGGTGACTATTCCGTCCTCCTGTAATGCTTGGGAGGGGGACACATTTGATGTCATTGGTTGCTAGGACCACCACTAGAATTACTTAGCATCTTATTGTCAAAGAGAAAAAAACACAGCTCTTACCTCGCAGTCCTCCTTTGAATATAGTTTCAAAGTTGGACTGAAAGTAGACAACCCCTTTAAGTGAACTCACCAGTGTCGGTGAAAATGCTGGCCAAAGCTAAAATTAATTCAGAAAGTTCTACAAAAGGTTTCTGGAGGATATCCGCAGTGGGAGAAAACTTTCTCGGCACGGTGAAAAACAAAAAGATCGGACTGTAGTAATAAAGACACTTGAAGTTGTGTTAAGACAGTGCAAACTGTACAAATACAGAGTGTTCAACATCCCAGTGAAGGCACTTCAACTCTGAAAGAGACAAAATACTAAGTCTAAACTAATATAAAAAGGATTTATAATGATCTGATAATATAGAAACTCTTGAATACAGCAGACTTTGGAGGGGGAAATGCAGCTTGTTAACCGGCCTCAGCTACTTTCCTCCGATTTCTGGGTGCCTCACGACAAGCTCCACACTGAAACAGAATAGGAGAGAGGTCAGAACAAAGCAAAAACAAAAGCCAAAAGATAACCCGGCCTTAGAAAATACACATGCTAGAGATACCACTGGAAGTGCTAGTTGCCTGGATTCCATGCTTTCACCATTAGGTTGCTGCCCCGGCCAAGCATGCAGCCAGTAACATTAAAGCGGACCTCGCATCGAATTGACAAGGTGGGCTTAGTCTAGGTACAAATGATGCATAAAAGTGGCAACTAAAAAACTCGTGGGTGGTGAAGTTGTAGATATACAGGTGAAACTCGAATAATTAGAATATCGTGCAAAGTTCCTTTATTTCACTAATGCAACTTAAAAGGTGAAACTAATATATGAGATAGACTCATTACATGCAAAGCAAGATAATTCAAGCCGTGATTTGTCATAATTGTGATGATTATGGCTTACAGCTCATGAAAACCCCAAGAACCCCAAATCCACAACCTCAACAAATTAGAACATTACATGCAATCAATGAAACAAGGATTGTACATAGAACAATATCGGACCTCTGAAAAGTACAAGCATGCATATGTACTCAGTACTTGGTTTGGGCCCCTTTTGCAGCACTTACTGCAATTACTTTTGCACGATATTCTAATTATTCGAGTTTCACCTGTATGTTCTCTTTCCCTGGCTTCCTCCCGCAGTGCCTAGGTAAGGGTGGTGTCCTGCTCCTGTCTACTCAGCATGCCCAGGGATCTTGTTGGCAGGAGGATGACAATCACCCACTGCACTCTGGAAGTCAGGGAAAGGTGAGTACATTATTCAACTGCTCTTTCCCCTGACTGTCACTGACCAGCCCCCGCAGATACTCCACTTGCCCCTTTATTATATTTATTATTATTAATAAATAATATCTGCCAAGGAGTTATGGTGCAACATGACTGACTAAGGGTAGTTAGAAATAAATACTCACCAACAATTATGATGATGATAACCACAACAACTGCTATTAGTATTGCCCACATCTACAAAAAGAAAAGAAAAAACACATTACTGTGCAGAATGTATGTATTCCAGCATTATGTCAAGTTCACTCAACAGCCAAATCATCCATTTACGATGTGTGCTGAAAATGTTTGTTGTTTGGCTGTCAGTGCCAACCTGCTTGCTTCAATACTTCGAGTTACCAACCTGGAAAGACTTATGTAGACGAGGACTTATCAACTCGCCCAATTCTGCTGTAGACTCAACATTTTGAAACCAATGGGCCAGCATAGCTGTAAAATGACTGGGCTGCATGCTGTGCTGTCGCATATGCACATGCCTCTTATGTGCTGCCAGTGCACTCAATCACGGGCCTCCAGCACTGTGACCAAGGTGTCACGGACAGCTCCCAGACACAATTAAGAGCAGGTGGCTACAAATCCCATGACGCATCTCTCTCCGGGAGTCTGTGAGAATCTTGCAAAGCCTCATGGGATTTGTTGTTCCACCACAGCTGGAGGACCGGAGTTTGGCTACCCCTGCGCTAAACACAAGCTGGTAGGTCAGTTGGCCCTATCTGTGTATGCATATATGTGAGCTAGATACCTTAGGACTGTAAGCTCCTTGAAGGCCGGGAATGTGAACGTGCAGTATGTAAAGCACTGCCAAACTGTCAGAGCTAAAGATGTGTCAATAATAACAATAGTTATAATGATATCCCAGCCCCTATATTGGATTTACCTGCCAGATGACAAGCCTTTCCAGGAGGAGCCAATCCCCATATTTCTCCAATGACCGGTTTGCTTTAATAATTTAAGGCGACACTAAACTCAGGAGTTAAACCTTTACAATACATTCAAGTACCTTAACTATTAACAACAATGCATCTTATTTGTGTATCACTCGCCTGTAGATCCTCCAATCATCTCTGAATTGGTGCTGACACTGTCCTTCCTTCTGGAGGGGGCTACTTTTGTTCCCCATGGTCTCTGTGTGTGTTATAAAGTAGTCACCGCTCCAAGCTCACTCCTGTGATGGACTACAATCTCATGTTTAATTTACTACTTTGCATTGAGATTGTAGTCCATCACAGGAGCGAGCTTGGAGCGGTGACTACTTTACATCACACACAGGAACCATGGGGAACAAAAGTATCCCCCCTCCAGAAGGAAGGACGGTGTCAGCACCAATTCAGAGATGATTGGAGGATCTACAGCCGAGTGACACACAAATAAGATACATTGCTGTTCATAGCTAAGGTACTTGAATGTATTTTTAAGGTTTAATTCCTGAGTTTAGTGTCACTTTATTGACCACAGAAACAAATTTTCTGATAAATATCTATCAGCTGACTGTAAATCTGGACATCATGTTATTCCTGCAAACTCCCTCTGATGAGTGTAGCACGGCCTGGCATTCAATGATAATCATCAGTTACAGGATATGAATACTATGTGTCACCATGACCTTGGGATACATTCAATAACGAGCAAAGACTGAACATCTCTAATTCCACAGCTACAACCCTTTTTATATATCTGTACAAAGTTTTTTCAGACAACACAATACAAATAAGACGAATGAGTCTCCTCACCTTGCAGTTCTTCCACCAATATTTTCTCTTTAGCCTGGCTGCGCTGGTCTCAAACTGGGAAGCTCCAGCTTGAAGCGCATCTGCACGATCGTCCAAGTCAGTCAACTTCTGATCCCTCTCCAAGACTTTGTCCACATTGACTCTCATGATGTCCACCACCTAAAAGGCATATACAAAAAAGTTGAAATGAGCCCTCCCCATGTCGGTTTATGGGGAATCAGATGTGAACGGACATGTGTCTATTTACATCAGAATACTCCTGACCCGGCATGATCAGGTTCGCCAAAATGGATCACCTGGTGTGAGTCGGGGAGGGGGAAGTAACCGGGTTGTAAACAGAGGTCTGTCTGTTTAGACCGATAGATAAGCATTGGGCACCCGATCACACGGATGCCCTTTTCACAAGGGCGCTCCGATTGGTTCTGCCCGTTAGTTTAGCAGGCAGACCTAATCAGACAGCTCGTGTGAAAGGGGCCTTATAGTCACGGGCTCCTTTTCACATTGGAGGAATCCAACTGTCAACCACGGGTATGGGGATGACTTAGACAAGACACAGCTACTGGCCTCACCTCAATGTGACTCTGTGGTCACTGCAGACTGCCCTAATGCCAACACATGCCCGTATGGCCGTTCTCACAGCACAGGGAAAGAAAACAAAAGCAGAGGTATAAATAAAAAAGTTATGTGAAAGTTTAGTTATCCTTTAAACTGTGTATTGGAGGAAAGAAGGGAATGACACTTATGACATATCTGCCACGTCAAATCGCTCAGAGTTATTCAGGAGACCTCCTCTGCTGAACACGTGACGCGGGATTCTTAAAGAAGAGAGTGCCAATGCCCCCCTGTGGTGATCTCTCTTTCGCTTCCTCCAAAATTCTGAATGGGAATATCTGCAAAAACTGCCGTCCTTCCAAATCAATTTTATCAACAGAAACCCAGCAGGAGCAGCGTAATTTGTTTCAATGAAGGGATGGGTATTCGAATATCAGGGCACACTTTTTTTTGGATTCATTACAAACTATACAGAGCAAAAAGGGACAAAAAAAAAAAAAAAAAAAAGGAAAAAAAAAAAAAAAAAAAAAATCAAGACAAAAGGACAGCCAAATATAGCACCGGAAACCAATTCTCTGCATGAATTTTCTGACAGACCTTTGATCAGAATGATCTGAGGTAAATAAAGCATTTGTTCATAAATAGGTCTGCAACCGCCGCTGTGGTGCTGCTTGCAGCGTGATGATGCTCGTCGCCTCTCGACAAAGCAAATCAGCTGTATGAAATAATACAGCACCGTCGTCAGTCTGTTTAACCCTTGGTGGGCACCCAGCTCTGTCCATTCTGGAAATTCATTGATGTGCAGGAGAGAGAGCAAAGAGAAGAGTACACTGCACAGCTAAACTTAGTCTATTTCTGTGGTTTGCTCGCAGGCAACTACATAAATGGTACATGTGCTACCCACCTCGTTCACCTGAGCCTGAGTCTGTTGGAGGCGCCGGTTGCCGGTGCCGGCATCGCTGGGAACTGCGGGAGTTGACCTGAAAGAGAGAGAACGAGATTAGAAAGTGCAAGTCTCTGGTGAACTAAATGAAGACGCTATTTATCCAAAATATTGTCAATTAGGGAACAGTTCTGTCTCTTGAAAAGAACAAGCTATTCCAGTGTCAAGTCCACAACTACCATCAACTAGCCAGGTTCCTGGATGACAACGCAAAACACCCGAGCCCTGAAACTGCAAACGTGGCCGTTGTGCGGAATCGCCCACCGACCTGTAAAACATCCCCATAGAGAAACATTACCAGTGATAATAGCTGAAGGCCTAACTATACAGAAGCATATGTAGATTGGTTAACTCCGCATACCGGCTGGGTCCGGTATAGACCCATATAGCAGGTAAAGGGACATTAGAAGCAAGGCTACAATTGATGTACATTTGTATTATTACATGACATTAAAGCTGAACTCCGGACTCCCCTTCAGTCTTTGCACAGTTGTACCGGCTCCTCTCCTGGACTGGAATTGCTTCCGCTGATATCACTGCACACTGCGAGCTTCTCACAATGTGCATTAGTAGCTGCAGCAAGTCAGATAGAGCCTGTCTCATTTCCTGGCTGGAGGACATCCAGCATCATCTAGCGCTTTCCCTATTGTCCCTGGTTGGCCCCTTTCATTCATTGGATTTCAGTTCTTTCAATCATGGAGGCTCAGCATCACATGGGCATTACCTAGGGTAGTCTATATGCAAATGCAGCCAGCCTAGGAAGGCCCACTTCTCCAGACTGACATCCACCCATCAAGGCATTATAATATGTGCATTATTCCTCCCGAGAGCTAGCCCACGGCTTGAATCAGGACTAAAGGCTCTTGAGGAGTACTGAGTCAGGGTGCTGTGATGTTTTCAGGAAGCTATGTACAGCGCCCTGCCGGCTCTCCTACCAGCCATGATCTGTCTGCAATTACATAGAGAAAAACAGAGACTCAGTCATGTGTGACTGGATCTAAAGTAAGAAGCAGAAGCATTTTTGTTGATGCGTCATAGAGCCAATGTTTCGGGGACGCGCAGGGTCCCTTCCTCAGGTCACTATGTCGCCCTAAGGGGCCGTGCGCGGCCCCAAAACTTTGGCTCTATGACGCATCGATAAAAGTTCTTATGCTTCTTGCAAACTACAAGAGAGAGTGCTGGTGACTTCTATTATCGATTGGACTGTGGCACGGCGCCATCCGTGTCCTCACTTTGAGCACCAACAGTTATTTCATATGGTTTGAGCGCTGTATGGAGTGCAGGTGATTCACTAACGCTATTTGGATCTAAAGTAGGGTACGTAAGGAAAACAGAAAGCTTCTATTCAAAAATGTCATTAGAATGTTGAGGGGGGAGTGGTGAATGGATGAACCAAGAAAGACCAAATATAAAAGATGAATTCCGCTGGAAGTTTCGGACATGACAGGTTTTAAAAGAATGTCAGCAATCAGAGCATTTTTCCCATTACAGTAAAGGTATGAATAAATCTTTAGAACATAATCTGTTGTGGAAGTAGGTTATTCCCTGCAACGTGTTGACACATCTATCTGGATGTACAGTACACCTCAACATAGTACAGAGTGTAATAATCTACTGTACACTTGCATAACAGCGGCATGCAAATACTGTACCAACCCAAGAGCCGCCACCAATGCCCTCAGGGTAAGAATCACCTGGCAGAGTCATTACTGTCAACAGCCAGAGTGTTCCCAAGTAGGTGTGCGAAACCTCGACCTGAAAAAGTAATCATTCAAGTCCAACTCTTCTGCTTATCTGAATGACAAGACTCAACAAAGAAGCCTGGACTGCGCCGGCTTTTATACAAAGTTACAGAAAAATTGTATGTAGAGAAATCTAGAGGCTGCCGGTACTGGGATCCATGTCTGTCAGCAGCCTGGCTGTCATGGCTCCAATTGTTTGAGTTACTGATCCAGAAGAAGCATCCTGGACTTTTCTTTGCTGCATGTTCCAGGTCGATGACCCAGAGATACAGGCACCAGACAAGTGCCATATTCAGAAGACGGCAGCCCCTATTTTCTCTTATATCCTAAATTACGTTCCTACAAGAGCCCGGTGCCCTCTTATATCCTCTACGTTCCTACAAGTGCCAGTGCTCCCTTATATCCTCTACGTTCCTACAAGAGCCCGGTGCTCCCTTATATCCACAATTACGTTCCTACAAGAGCCCGGTGCTCCCTCATATCCACAATTACGTTCCTACAAGAGCCCGGTGCTCCCTCATATCCACAATTACGTTCCTACAAGAGCCCGGTGCTCCCTTATATCCACAAATACGTTCCTACAAGAGCCCGGTGCTCCCTTATATCCACAATTACGTTCCTACAAGGGCCCGGTGCTCCCTTATATCTTCTACGTTCCTACAAGAGCCCGGTGCTCCCTTATATCCACAATTACGTTACTACAAGAGCCCGGTGCTCCCTTATATCCACAATTACGTTCCTACAAGAGCCCAGTGGTCTCTTATCCTCCATTATGTTACTACAAGAGCTCGGTGCTCCCTTATATCTTCTACGTTCCTACAAGAGCCCGGTGCTCCCTTATATCCACAATTACGTTCCTACAAGAGCCCAGTGGTCTCTTATCCTCCATTATGTTACTACAAGAGCTCGGTGCTCCCTTATATCTTCTACGTTCCTACAAGAGCCCGGTGCTCCCTTATATCCACAATTACGTTACTACAAGAGCCCGGTGCCCTCTTATATCCTCCATTACGTTACTACAAGAGCCCGGTGCTCTCTTATATCCTCCATTATGTAACTACAAGAGCCCGGTGCTCTCTCATATCCTCCATTACATTACTACAAGAGCCCGGTGCCCTCTTATATCCACAATTACGTTGCTACAAGAGCCTGGACACAGCTCCAGAGTGTCTGCGAGCAGTCTGAAAATATTTATTGCTAGGATGCCACTGAACCAGGACTTCATTCTTCCAGAGCTCCTCATTCCCACCACTTATCCTTGACTGTCATCATGAAGCACAGGGAAAGTAAAGCGGCGCTCGGGCGCAGTGTATTATTAGAGTACGGTATGATGATATTGCTGATACTCTTGTCTCTGAGCTGTACGGTGACTCATACTCCGGCATTATGCAATCCAGCAATGTTATTTTTATTCAAGGTTTGAACTAGCGCCAACTACAGTTCAGTTTGTACCTTGTGGAAGACAAGGCCTCCGGGCCGATCTCGCCACGTGTTTCATTTAGGAACATTGCACATACAGTAAAAAGGACAATAGCTGGGAAGAATTCCATGTGTATTACACATAAAACAAAAACCAGACTCCCACTGGAGATTAGATCTTAAAGAGGAACCCCAGCCAAATAAAAAAACACACCCATCAGCCCAGATATAAATTCCTTCAAATATATCATGAAATGTATTGGAAAGCTATTCTGGATTTCTGGTTTATTAGTCCCCATTCACACCTAGTAGATGTAGGAATTGAATTGCAACACCGATTAAAAATAGTCCAGATACAACTTTATTCCACTAGGGTCAGCGGACAATTGAGTGGAATAGCCAACACGTTTCGGTGGTCCAAAAGCCCCCCCTTCATCAGGGCTTGCTGTGAGAAATCATGTACAGTAATGGCCAAAAACCTGACACATTCTACGCTCAAGTCCAAAAATTGACTGGACAAAATTGGCACCCTCAATTAATATTTGGTAGCACAGCCCTCGGGGAAAAAAAATAACTGAAATCAAATCGCTTTCTGTAACCATCAATGAGTTTCTCACTCCTCTCTACAGCAATTTTCGGACAACTCCTCTTTCACCAACTGCTCCAGGTCTCTCAGATTGGAAGGGTTCCTTTTCCCAACTGCTGTTTTGAGATCTCTACACAGGTGCTCTATGGGATTTGGATCTGGACTCATTGCTGGCCAGTCCAGTACTCCAGCGCTTTGTCTGAAACCATTTCTGGGTGCTTTGTGACGTGTGCTTTGGGTCATTGTCCTGCTGCAAGACCCATGACGGAAACCTAACTTTGACACTGGGCCCTACATTGCACCTTAGAATTCTTTGGTAGTCTTACGATTTCATAATGCCATGCACACAGTCAAGAAAGTCAATGCCTGAAGCAGCAAAGAAACCCCAAAACATAAGTCCATGTTGGACTGTATTTTTTCATTTATTTTTCTGGAAACAGTAGAATGATGGGCTGCACCAAAAAGCTGTAAATTTTGTTTAGTCTGTCCACAGCACATTCTCCAAAAAGGATTTTGGCTTCCTCAGGTGAGTTTTGGCAAACTCCAATCCGGCTTTTTATGTTTGTGTCAGCAGTGGGGTCCTTCTGGGTCTCCTACCATAGCATCCCTTTTCATTCAGATGGTGACGTATAATGCGAGCTGACACTTGTACCCTGTGCCTGAAGGTCAGCTTGAATTTGTCTGGAAGTTGATGGTCTTTATCCACCATTCCAACAATCTTTCATTGCAATCTTTGATCAATTGTTCTCTCTCCTCCACGTCCAGGGAGATTCGCTACAGTGCCAAGGGCTGTAAACTTCTTGACAATGTTGCGCACAGTGGACACAGGAACATTAAGATCTCTGGAGATGGACTTGTAAGCTTGAGGTTGTTTATGTTTTTCCACAAAAACATGGAATGCAATTATTTCTTGCAATTTGGAGACGGTGCCAATAAATTTTGTCCAGTCCATTTTTTGAGTTTTGCGTGGAATGTGTCAGGTTTGGCTTTTTTTTCCCCTCTACTTTGCGTCATAACAATACAAAACAAAAGAAATAAAACATGAGAATGCCAAAACATTTGTAATTGCAACAATTTTCTGCACAAAGTGGTACATTATCTGACAAATGCAGGGGTGCCAATATTTTTGGCCATGACTAATCTCACACACAGTTCTATTCAAAAATGTCATTAGAATGTTGAGGGGGGTGTGAATGGATGAACCAAGAATGACCAAATACCAAATATAAAAGATTAGTTCCGCTGTAAGTTTCGGACATGACAGGTTTTAAAAGAATGTCAGGATTCTCT